GCTCTCCCTCTCCTTGTTTCAGAAACAGCTTCTAATATCCGTTAGCGCAGCTAGCTAACCAGATGCTAACAACAACAATGCAAATAGTGAGTTTGGTAGAAATATACTGTATAATAGTAAAGTTATTTAAGATGATGCCATATTCATTGAAGATTTTACATTATAAATATTCCCCACAATTATTCAAAAGCATATTCTTCCAAACTCCTTGCTGTAGTATGACACACAGGAGACTATTGATGTGTGTGGTGAGTTATAGTAATAAGCTGTATAATAGTGATTGAATATTATTGTATTCTCTTTTTTCGGAGTTGCACTTTGCAGACGGTCCCTGAGCACTCGTTTCTACTCCGGCTGTGGATAGAGACCAATGTAATGTGTCCAGCTCGGAGGATGGCGCGTATTGGCTTTTTTTGATCAACGTGTGATTGTAGTTCGTTTTCAACCTTACCACGGTACTGAGGAGACGTCATTTGTGTCTGAACAACGTTTTGTTCATGAGTTATTGATCCGTGAAATCAGAATCTCCCAATATCGTTCCAACTTTACTGAACTAAGCCAGAAGACCGTCTCATTTCGTAGACCGCTCGGTTTGCTGTTCCTTCACTTTATTTTTATATACATTTATTTTGGACGAAAGTTTTGCGTGAGGAAAGGCATGTGTGGCGTGAGTGCGTGAGATATGGGTTAATTGCGTGTCTCACGCTCAATGCGTGAGGGTTGGCAGCCCTGGCTAAGCTAAACTAGCACTCTGCTGGTCTCACTGAGATGAGGGTCTCTGCAGGGACAGGAAGTAGGACTTCAGGGTGGTAGTCCTGGCTCTATTGCAGGTCTTTACAGTATTTACAGTCAGCAGGTTTTGGTTCAAACTGTCCACACAACGTCTTTGGAGTTTCATAAACAAGAAAACCAGGTTTCATCTAAACCCGGATTAGATCCAGAACCTGGTCAGTAAATAAAAACTCACAGAATCACAGCGATTATATGTGTGTAGTTACAGGAAGTACATTGCAGCAGGTCCACACGAGACCACATCCTGCAGGACAGGGATTATAAACATGACGTCAGAGTCCACCTTCATCAGTCCTGCTTCAGGTTCCTCCGCTGACAGAAACAGACCTCAGTGCAAAGTGTGCATCAGTAAACATAGACCAGGTTTCAGTCTGCAAGGGATTGAAGTTGTAAAGTGAGTCAAAATCAGGAGAGGGGAGGATCCTCAGAGACCTACAGGTCTTTAGTCTGGACTGAGGGGGTCCGTTGGTCTTTGGTCTGGACTGAAAGGGTCTGGTGGTCTTTAGTCTGGACTGAGAGGGTCTGGTGGTCTTTAGTCTGGACTGAAAGGGTGTGGTGGTCTTTAGTCTGGACTGAAAGGGTCTGGTGGTCTTTAATTTTGACTGAGAGGGTGTGGTGGTCTTTAGTCTGGACTGAAAGGGTCTGGTGGTCTTTAATTTGTACTGAGAGGGTCCTTTGGTCTTTCGTCTGGACTGAAAGTGTCTGGTTGTCTTTAGTCCCGACTGAGGCCTCAGAGGGGGTCCTGGTGGGTGTGGCCCCCTCCCCCCTCTCGGTTCAGATGGTGATGATATGATGAAGCAGGTTTACAGTAAACCCCCCCTTACAGTCTACTTAATGCTTTGCCCCTCCTCAGTCCCCGCTGGACTCAAGGACCCTCTCCGCCAGCACCTCCTGGAAGGTGGAGAGCTGCTTCATCTGCTCGGTCTGCATCGAGTGTCTCCGCATCAGCTTCTTCTTCATCTTGAAGTCTGGACCCCGTTTGGGGGAGGCGGGGGCCACAGGGACCAGAATCTTGGGCCCAGCGTGGACCGGGGAGGTGGGTTTACCGTTGGCCCGGATGTCAGGGATGGGTCTCTGAGGGTTGATGTTGAGGGGGGGCAGGAAGCCGGGCCTGGTGTGGGAGATGTGGTCCAGCAGGAGGGTCCCGGACCCCCGGCGCTCCAGGAGCCCCCGGCGGCGCAGGACGGGGGACACAGAGCTGGGGATGTTCTCCAGTGACTCCCTGGGGGACAGCAGAGACAAGGGGGACGCGTTGAAGCGCCGCCGATCCACCGACACCCGGCCCGAGTCTGGAGACCCGGGACTGGACTCCGGGCAGAGGTGGGTGTCGGACTCGTAGTGCTCCATGCGGGTCAGTTTGGGGTGGATCAGAGCCCGGGCCCCTCCTGGACCCCCAGCGTTCTCCTGGGTCTCCGGGGCCGTGTTCCTGCGGTACAGGATCTGGTGCTGCTGGACCTTGTCGGCCCAGGAGGCCCCGGAGAGGGGGGCGTAGTCCTCCGAGACGGACCGGTCCATCAGTTTTGGGGAACAGGGGTCGTGGGTCTCGATGCTGTGTCGCCGGGACAACCGCGGTCTGGCCGGGTCTGTTAGAGACAAGCCGTTCATCTGGAATATGGTGCTGCTGCAGCCCCCATCCTCAAGACCCCCGTCCCTCGGAGGAACCAGGACTGAGGGGGCCACCAGACCCCAGGGCTCCGAGTTCAGCCTCTTCAGCAGCTTGCGGGGGGGCGGCCTCTTGTCTCCCGGGGGTCTGGCTGAGGGCAGCGGCAGAGCCGTGGTCAGCGCGAAGCTAAAGATCCCGTCCTGGTCTCCGGCCGGCGAGGAGGTCCGGATCTCCACGTCGGAGGGGGACATGCAGTCTGGAGCCAGCTTGTCCACGATGGCAGGGGAGGGGGGGGCGTTCAAGTACTGCTTGGTCTTCTTGGTGCCGGACGGAGAAGTGTCAGAGGTGATGATTATCACTTCCTTCCCTTTGGCCTTGCAGGCGTCCAGCAGGACCTGCAGGGTGTCCCGGTCCCCCTTGTTGATGGCATGGACCAGAGCAGAGGAGCCGGAGTAGTCCTTGAGGCTGGGGTCCGCCCCGTTCTCCAGCAGCAGCGAGACTACTTCCCGGCCTGCCTGCTCCGCGCAGGCATGGATCAGCGCCGTGCGGCCACACTTGTCCGGGATGTTGGGGTCGGCACCCTTCTCCAGCAGGTAGCGGACCATCCTCTGCCTGGCCAGCGGGTCCTCATAGGCCGCGAGGCAGGCAGCACAAACTGGGGTCTCCCCGCGGTCGTTGCCCTCGTTGATGTAGGCGCCGCCTTCCAGCAGCAGGCGGGTCAGACGCAGCTTCCCCTGGAACACCGCCTTCAGGAGGGCGTTCCCCTCCGTCTGCAGGGGGACTCCATCTCCCATCATGCACCTCACCTCAGACCTCCTGCAGGCTGAGGGTCCGCCACAGAGTCACATGACCTGCAGGAGAAACCAAACCGAGTTCAGGTTCAGGTCTAGCAGGGACCCTGATTCCTGTTTCCTGTCACAGCACCTGCAGCTCCTCCAATCACAGACCTGACCCCCACAATAACAGGAAATACAAAGGAAAGAGAGGAGGCCCTCCCCCAATGGAGCTGACACACGCCCGGTCTAAAGTCAACACTGATGAACTGAACACACACTCAGGTGTGTTTACCTGCGGAAACACTGTGTTTACATTCAGTGAGAAAGGGACCATATGGACACACACACACACACACACACACACACACACACACACACACACACACACACACACACACACACACACACACACACACACACACACACACACACACATGCGTGTATGATTTACACGTCGAATAGAGACGCTTGTTTT